ACTTACCGGACAACAATCATTCATATCACATGCAAATAAAATTTTGCTGAAGATCATTCAAAAACAGTTGCAGCAAGCAATACATTGACTGCCTGAAATTCAAGTCAGATTCAGAAGAGGATATAGCTGAAAGCAGAGACCAAGATATTTACTTCTGTTTTACTGACTACACCAAAGTATTCAGCTGTGTGGATCATACCAAATTATGGATAAGATTGTGAAGAACGGGAATTCCAGAACAATGGTTTAAAATCGAAAAGGTGTGCATCAGGGTTGTATCTTTTCACTATCCTTGTCCTGGTGTGATGCTGTAGGATAAGCGTTGGACTGCAAACTGCAAGGTTAGCAGTTCAAATCTACCAGCCACTCTTCAGAAATGCTACAGAGGATTGCTAGGAGTTGTAACTGACACTACAACCCTTAACAACAACATTCAATTTTTATGCTGAGCACATAATCAGAGACGCTGGGCTATATGAAGAAGAACACGGTAGGTATCAGGATTAGAGAGAGACTAAGGAGCTATGGTAGCATAGTGGTTACAAATCGGGCTGCGAACCGCAAGGTCAGCAGTTCGAAACTACCAGCTGTTCCGCGGGAGAAAGATGAGGCTTTCTGTTCCCGTAAAGATTTACAGCCTTGGAAACCCTATGCAGGTCTCTGTGAGTGGGAACCGACTCCACGGCATATGACAGCAACAGCAACAGCCTGGAGTCCTGGTGTGGCACTGTGGGCCAATGCGCCAGACTGTTTGAACTGCAAGGTCAGCAGTTCAAGCTCACCAGCTGCTCCTTGGAAACCCTATACACAGTCACTATGGGTCAGAATCAACTCAACGGCACTTAACAATAACAGCCTGTAACCCACAGATGACACAGCCTAGCTTGCTGAAAGTAAAGAGGAACGTGAAGCACTTATTGATAAAATTCAAAGACTACGTCCTTCAGTGTGGATTGCACTTCAACATAAAGAAAACAAAGATCCTCACAACTGAATCGCTAAGCAACAACATGATAAATAGAGAAGACTGAAGTTACCAAGGATGTCATTTTACTTGGTCCCCATAATCCATGCCCATGGAAGTAGCAGTCAAGAGACATATTATACTGAGCAAATCTGCAGCAAAAGACCTCTTTAACAAGCAATTATGTCAGATTGAGGACTAAGGTGTCCCTGACCCAAGCCATGGTATCTTCAGTCACCTTGTGCATAGAAGAAAACTGGACCATGAATAAGGAAAACGAAAGAATTGATGCATGTGAGTTATGGTGCTGGCAGACAGTATTAAATACACCATGAACTGCCGGAGGAAATAACACATCTGTCTTCAAAGACGGACAGCCAGAATACTCCTTAGAAGTAAGGATGGCGAGTCTTTGCCTCGGTTACTTTGGACATGCTAACAGGAAGGATCATTCCATGGAGGACCTCGTATTTGGTAAAGTGGAGGGTCAGTGAAAAAGAGAGAGCCCTTTACCAAAATGGGCTGGCGCAGGGGTTGTGCCAATGGCTGACACATAACAATGACTGTGACGATGGTGGCAGACTGAGCAGCAGTTTATTGTGTTGGACATGGGGTTGACTGAGGGGAACCTAACAACAACAACACTTTTAAGTATCAATTAGCACAGTAGCTCAAAAGAGGGAAGAAATCTTTACAGCAAGGACCATGCCCACCCCCTCCACACACAGAGTACACAGGGATAGGCAAATTGGACATTGGCTACCCAAAATGGGGAGGCTACAAAGGCAAGAAATGACTGACTTACAAGCTTTCATGAGGGAACCTAGATCCAGAGGGTATGGAGGAAGGTAGAATCTCCACTGAGTAGTATCCAATCTGTCTGGGCAGGCTGATGAAAGGAAATGCAGATAGGCCTCTTGTGAACAATAGTGAATAATTGTTATCAGGACTGATTGTGAGGGTTGGAAATGTAAAGGTAGACGTTTTGTAGCAAGGAGAGGAGTGATTAACTTTGAAGCCTAGGAGCGGAGGTCCCTGGGACCATCAAGGGAGAAGAGCAGAGAGCGGGACCCTACCCAGAGAAGCAGTGACACCAGAGATGGAGGCAGAGACAATGACGTGGAGCGATGGAGCAGCTGGGGACTTTAGATCCAGAGAGGGAGAGGGGCTGTGTGCTGATGACTGGGGGGGCACGGAAGGGATTGTCACCATGGCAGTGAAATGATATACGATAGGATTAATGTAAAACTAATGTTCTCCCATCTAAACTATCACATAATTCACAATAAAACATTTTTTTTTTTTAAGTATCAATTAGCAGCTATTAAGGGACAAAGGAGGCCTTTCCCTTGGCTGGCACACACTTGCCAGTTTTCCCAGGTAAACCCCATTCTTGGCCAGTCTAAAGGAGTTGATGCTTTGAGTAAAAGGGCCCTTGGAGAGACAGAGGGCTCCCCAGAGCCCACTCCTCTTCATTTACTGCTGACCGACAGTGCTTACCCACCGCCTCGAGAGAGCCAGCCCTTTATAAGCTTAGGAATGCTGGTGTGTGTTTCTGGGAGCAGTCATCCCAACAATCAGGGACAATTCACCGCCATCACCATCCTTGTCACCTCCCGTGGACACCGCTGCTCTTATTCTGACTGCAGCTCTCCCCCACCTCCCTTCTTCCACAGCCTTTAGTTTCTCGGATTCCACAGAACATTCCAACATTTTATTCCCACTGAGCAGCAAAGGACCACCCTGGCCATACCGAGGGGGGACATGGAAGTCCACTCTGGCCTGAGTGAGATGGGGGGGGTGCCGGGTGGGGCTCTGCTGCAGGCTGGCACCCCGGGCCCTGCCCTCTACCACACACAGGCCCCTTTGTGCTCTGCACGGAGCTTTCAGGGCAGGCAGGGAACAAAGCCACAAACCTCCTCAGCAGATCCAGGCCTGACTGGTGATCAGAAGGGAGGGGGTGGCAGGGGGCTTCCCTGGGAGAGGGGCCCTTCCCCACTGCTCACCACAATCAAGAAACCGTTCCTTTCCCTCCTCCACTCTTGTTCAAATGAAAGAATTTGGGGGAACCAGAAAAATGTGGCTTTTATTTCCAAAACTGGAATCAATTATAATTGGGGAATTGGTTAAATATTCCCAACAGAGCTCAGACTCAGGTCTGTGGTGCCCAAACCCAGCCTGGAGGGCATGGACTGGAGACTGGACAGAGCTGCCCCTGAAGGTGGCCAAGGACCAGACCCTGCTCTAGGAGAATGCCTGGAGGAGACACAGCCATCCTCGGGAGTCTGCATGCCTCCCTGCAGGCCACATCTGTCCCCAGCAGGACAATCCACTCTCCCAGGGAGCCCCCCACCCAGAGGGTAGAGGGCTGGTCACAGGCATGACCTCCCTGTGAAGGTCAGGGATGGGGTGCAGCTTGGCACTGCCCAGGGGGCAGCAGGGCCAATGGTCACACGTGCTGCTTCAGGACACTGTCTGACCTCTGACCCTGGTACAGGCAGATGGGGTGCAGCAGTCAGAGTGGGAAGTAAGGTCTTCCCAAGCTTTAGGGGGTGGGATAGGAGAACAAAAGCACAGGGCAGTACGTCATGGCCCCCACCCCACCCCCGTAGGATGCAGTGCTCTATCCACTCCTATTTCCCCACCCCACTTCCCCAGTCAAGTGTCAGTGTCTCCTGAGGGGAAAGACCAGGAGAAAGGGGGAGGGGAGGGGTCAGGAAGGCTGCTCTCTGCAAACGCTGGTCCCACAAAACCTTGGGCTAGGAGACTAGGAGGCAAGTGGAAAGGGGTATGGGTTGGAGGAAGCCTCACATTATAGCTCCCTGGGACAGCCAGTACCAACACACTAGAGGCCCCTCTCGGCCCCTCCTTGCCAAGCCTGAAGTCCAGCAGGGTCTGACTCAGAAAAAAACATACAGACAGACAGATGGGGTTAATCTTAGCAGGCCTCATTGAAGTTCCAGAGAAGAGGTGAAGTGTGACCACTGAGCCCCTCCATCCCATGGGAATCCACCCTCTGACCCCTTCCCTCTGTGACCAGTCCTGGTCTAAATGACAAGGATTGGTCCCCTAGCATGGCCCTGGGCAGACACACTCCTAGCTATCCAAGCACTTGGAACAAGGCCAGCCAAGCACACCTGACAGCAAAGGTTTCTGGGGGAATAATCAAGGTCACCCAGTCAACATCCTGGGGGGGGGGGATTTCACCCAGTCTCCGAGCCCTGCAGAAGCCCCTCCATCTCCCCTTCCCACCAGAGCCTCTCTGCTCAGCCATCAAAGCACATAGAGTGGGCGGGTATCTCCTTACAAATGTACAAAGTGGACCCCCAGACTTCCTGGCTGCCCGCAGGGCAGGCAGGAAGCAACCATGTACATCCCCCACTGGCCAGCAATGTCCACCTGGGAAGAAGCCCCCCACTGTCCCACAGGAGCCACTTCAAAGCAGAGGAAAAGGCTGCAAGTATCCTGTTTCACCCAGAGGCCGGCAGGCCGGTGCCAAGGGGGCCTTTAAACTTCACGTTCACTGCAAACACTCGGAAAGAGCGCACGCCTCCTGCCTCCCAAAGGAAGGGCTGGCTTACTCTTTATCCTGCGTGCACACACTTTCCTTTGCAAGAATTGTCCCTCACCCCTCACTCTGGTTCTCAAGCTAGGCACGGGCTCAGATGCTGCAGGAAGGACCCCAGGGTGAGACGCAAATGACGACAACCCAGCAAGGTGGCCAGTGTCCTGTGCGGAGTCATGATACTGCTCCCTCAGAGGCCCTGCCCCACTCTGGGCCTGGCATCCATCTCAAGGACTGTGTGAGGCCCAGGCACCCACGGGGGAAGTGGGACCCTCAAGATGGTCCTTCTCCCTACAGCCTCAGAGCCTGCAGAAGAAGGGGTAAAACATGGTCTCCCTCTGCATGCCCCCACCCCACTAAGTGTCCTGGCCCTGCCACCCACAGTCTTGCCATGGCCAGGGCCTTGGTGTCCAGGTCCCTGGTGTCTGCAGCCACATCCCCGGCTGGGTGCCCCATTGGTGCTTTACTCACCGTACTGACAACGGGGACCATGGAAGCCTTGGGGACAGAGGCACGGCTGGGTGGCGCCTGGCTGGCAGTGGCCGCCGTTGAAACAGACTCCGGAGCTACAGACAGCTGTGAAAGCAAGGTGGGGACAGGTAAGGAGGGGCAGAGCAGAGGCTCCTAAATCAGCCCCCCCAGGGCAATGACAGGTGACCCACCATGTGCTTGACACAGAACCTCCAGGGACTCCAATGAAGTCCCCCCCATTCAGCTCTGCTCTGCCCTGAGGCAGGGGCCCCACTAAGCCAGAAGACCCAGCCAGTCTTCAAGTCCAGGACTCTCAGGCATCTGAGTTAGGAGGACAGGACTGGGCCCATGAGGAGAGACACACAGCCTTCAATCTGTCCATTGCTGCCCCAGGCTTAGAGAGCGCCCCCTGCAGATAACAAAGCTAGCTCTCACCCACACCCCAAGCTCTGGTCCCACACCATCCTCCCTCCCACAGCAACATGAGGATGTGTCTAAAACAGGAGGGAGGTGGCCTTCTGGGGCCACATGGAACCCAAGGGAATGCTCAGAGACACCCAGAACCCATAGAGGGAAGCCCAGGGCCCATGTAATGGGAAACATCAGTGTCCAGGCACAGAACACCCAAAACCTTTGACATTGGCAACAATGAAAAGCCAGTGTGTTTACTTTTTGCCATGACACCCAGCCCAAACCAAAAAGGCAGGCCACCCCCGGATGGGGAACAGGTGAACAGCCAGACATCCAGGAAGGCAGGACCCACCCTCAGTGGGGCCCAGTCCTGGCCTACCATGGTTCTGAGTTTGGGGCATTGGAGGTCAAAGGACAACTAGCTTGTCCCTGTTCCCATACTTCCATCTCTCCTCTGAGTCAATGGTGTCTCCCTCCACCCTGTCACCTGTCCTTACAGTCCTCATGTGTCCCTCTTCCTCATCCCAGTCTTTTCCACCCTGCCACCCCTACCCGTCAGGAAGCATCTGCCTAATTCAAAACAAAGAGGAAAGGAACATGAGCTCCAAGGACTGGGACTTTCTTCTATGAAATCCACAAAGTCATAGAAACCAAAGCTTGCCAGTGGTTACCAGGGGCGGGGGCCAATGGAGGGAGGAAGCGGCAGTTTCTGCTCACGGGGCATTGAGTTTATGTGAATGTTGGTGGAATGATTTGGAAAAGGATAAAGAGAATAAATGCACAACTTGAAAAATGCAGCCAAGGTCACTAAATTGCACATATGGAACTCATTGAATTGGTGAAGGTTTTGTTGTATATGTTTTCACCACATCGACACACATGCGATGAAAGGCATACCAAGACTCTGCTCCCCTTCCCTCTCTGGCCCAGCTCCACTGTAGCACCCTTGGCTGGTCCAGCTCAAAACACCACCTCTAAGGCCAGTGGGGTAGTGGGTATCACCAGCTCTACTGCACACACAGACCTGTGGGCACACACCCATAGATACACCATCCACATGTGCACATTGTCATATACACACACATACACACACACACAAGCACATCAGGACACACAGCGTTGGGAGCAACCACTGTGCTCGCTCTCTGCATCCAGCATGGATGTTAGTAATTGATCTCCTTCCTGGAAAAGACATCTTTATTTTTTAAGATTTTAAAGGGGTCTCTTGCAAGAGATTTGCCAATTGCAAAACATAGCTTGATTTTCTGACTATATAAGCATAGTGGTTACAAATCGGGCTGTGAACTGCAAGGTCAGCAGTTCGAAACTACCAGCTGCTCCGTGGAAGAAAGATGAGGCTTTCTGTTCCCGTAAAGATTTACAGCCTCGGAAACTCTGTTCAGGATCACTATGGGTTGGAACTGACTCAACGGCACTTAACAACAGCAATTTCCCTGGGCATTTATTGTTATTCCAATGAAAAATCCTAAAACGAAGACTGTAGAAGACTGAAGGGTCAGTGAAAAAGAGGAAGACCCTCAATAAGATGAGGGTTTGACACAGTGTTGCAACAATGGGCTCGAACACACCGACTACGGTGTCAATGGTGCAGGCCGGGGCGCGATTTCATCATGTTACACATACGATCACCATTAGTGGGCGCCAACTCACTCAATGGCTCCTGGCCCAATTGTTGATAGATGCCACTGAGTGACTTGGCAACACCACCCACCTATCGGAGTCCTAGTGTGGCATTGTGGGATAATGCGTTGGACCGCAAGGTCGGTTTGAATCTCAAGGTCGGTGGTTCAAGTTCACCAGACACTCCTAGGAAATTTGTAGGGTTGCTATAAATCAGAACTGACTAGACAGCAACCCACCTATCAGCTCAGGGCAGACACCAGGGAACCATCCTCACCTGCACGCTACCCCCCAATCCATATTCATACCCTGCCCAGGGTTCACCCAATCCTGCAGCCTGTGTGCCTTGAACACACTCATTCCTTTCCATCTCCAATACCACCATGCTGGACAAAGCCACCGTCATCCCCTGCCCCTGCAAATCCTCCCGTGTCCTCTCCCAAATTTCAGTCCTACTCACTCAAATCCATTCTCTACCCTAAAGCCTTCGTGATCTTTTCAAACATAATCTGGATCGTGTCACCCTGATTGAAAGCTCTCAGTGGCTGTCTTGACATAGAACAAGCCCAACTCCATGGGCTCCTCGTCCGTGCCTCTAGACCGCTACCTGGCCATCAGCCTCATTTCCACACGCATCCCCAATGCTCTGTGTGCATCCAGCACTCTCTACTTCAAGGCCCCATGTGATGCATTTGGTTTCCAACACCCACCAATGTGGGAACAACCTGACCCTAACTAAACACCTCTTCCCCAGGGAGCTTTGCTCAGCCCTCAGTACTCACGGTTCATGCACGTCCCCTTTGTCGTGCCCTCAGTTGTAACGAAACATTTAAATTGTTGTTGTTGTTGTCAGGTGCCATCGAGTCGGAACC